TTATTTCGATTTCCGTACAGTGTACGCGCGTAATAAGAGGAAGGAAGATAAAAGAAACAAAAAAGCTCGCTCCAAGTTGAAAAAAAAAACAAGTACGAGAGTGATTGTGGGTTATATGTGTGTCAGAGATACTTGTGACTGACAAGAAGATTGACTGATTTTGGATGCGGATTTTTGAACGAAAGTCCACGAGTATTACTCGCTAACCTAACCTAGGAATTAGGATGAAAATTAATTCTGCAAAGAAATTCATTGGAATTCGCGTCTGAAATTTGCCGATCTTCCCTTGTGAGTGAACATAAATGAATATAAATAATTGGTATGATTAATGTATCAAAATGCAACCAGGTAACCAATGTAATAAAATAAATAAGACTTTTCTAGACGTGGCCAGGTCGTTTATTTTCATCCGTATTGTAATTCTCGTTATCGTCATTGTGAAATCGGTTATATCATATCAAGCGGAACGTAACCTCAAACACGTTATCACAATCCTCGGATAATCGAGGAAGATAGCCGCGGAATGTGCAACAGATAAATTACAGAGTAATTAAAAGTACATGCAAACATTTTTTCTTCGTTATAATCTCACGTGATCTATTATTTGATCAATCATCCATTCAACTATTATTTTTTATGACACGGTAGGTATCGTGTACAAGGTCTCATGGGCCCCCAATTGTTGGGTCAGCCAATCTAGACCCTGTGTTGAGCCACAGGCGTTTGTGACTAAAGACGAGCCCTGTATGTGCCATGCTCTACCGCAACATAAGTTTTGCAGGCACAGTATGTCTGTTAGTTCTTCTGCACTGGCGCAACCAGCGATATCCTACGAAATATATAGAGATATATGATCAAATAATAGTGAAGAGAAAATTATTGTCCAGTTGTCTAACCTGTTTGTTAGCGTAAATAAGGAACAAAGCATCCTTGAGCTCGCGTTCATTAACTATTTTCGACAATTCATTCTGAGCCTCTTCGAATCGAGACCTATCACTTGCGTCCACCACAAAGATAACAGCTTGCGTGTTGTGATAGTAATGTTTCCATAGTGGTCTGAATTTCTGTTCTCCTCCAACGTCCCACAGTGTGAACGCCAGATTTTTATACTCTAAACTCTCCACGTTGAATCCAATAGTGGGAATTGGTGGATTAGAAAGAGTGATGCCTCTCATAGCTGACAGGATGCTAGTTTTTCCAGCACCATCCAGTCCCAAAATTACCACTCGCATGTCCATCTTTGTACCAATGTGCACTCTATTATCCTGTAATAACACAAATTTTTATTTATTTGTGACTTTGGTAATGTTGTATCTGTTTACTGTGCGTTGTTGAGAAGATGACGAGTAGGACAGCACAGGGGCAAAGGGAGTAAGCCGCTCGATTCACCTTTGATGCTCACCGTCACGCGATTCTACTAGACCTGATTAGTAGATGGGACCGTTTCGACCAATAATAAAAATGCGTGTGATTCGACTTTATGAGTGTGTCCACTGCATCAATAAGACCCGCATTCCTTCCGCTTGTCATCTTCTTAGCAATGTAAAATACATACCCTGCTGAATATTATGGGTATGGAGGATTCAGGGGTGAGAAAGTCAGGGCCTAATCGAGCATAGTGTTGCTGTTGTTGTTCCAATGTATTCAACACTTCTTTGACCTTTGTTGCAGTGCTCAATAACTTCCAGTCCTCTGAATCTAAAATACTCTCACACTGAATGCATACATTAGCCACTTGAGACCTTGTGCTGGTCAGATCCTGCTGTTGTTGCTTTAGAGCATGCAATCTCCCTTGTGTTTCTGTTTCAACACAGGTAATTGCTGCATTTTCTTGTTCAGCCAACAGAGCTCTCAGTTCCTCAAAGTGCTGGTGCACTCTCTGTTTGGCATCCTCTATTGCCCATCCTTTTAGATCTTGTATCACTGTCTCTGATAGCAATAGTGATAATAATGATTATTTTCATTGAATCTCTAGGAGAGTGAAAGTAATATAAGTAACATGCCTATTCTGTGTGCTGTGTCCCTCATGCTCTCCATAAATTGTGTCATTTTTTGCATAGCAGTGACAATGGACTTTCTGATATACTCTGCCTCCACATCCACCAAAGCTAGCTACAATTAAAACAGAGAGTAGAATATAATTTATCTCTTCAGTTGTACACGAATTACCTTATGAGTGCTATGTCTGCCATAATCCTTGCATAAATAACACATGAGAGAATTGTGACAACCTTCCTGAGTGCAAGTGAACTCTGCTACGTTTGTTGTATGCACCGGACATTTTGGCTTGTCCTTTGGCTTCTCCGACAGAGGCATACGTTTGTGTTTGTTCAGAGTCTTTGAAGAATGAATGATACTGTCACAATATTCACACAAATGAGATGCACATACAGTGCAATAAAACACTGCAGTGTGAGCTTCATCCTCATCACATGCCTGATTAGAGTGGAGCCTCTCTCTTTCAAGCACCAATGTTTTCTCACTGTTAGACTGTTCAAGCTTTTCCAATAACTCGATCAAAGCGAAATTCTTCTTCAGATTGGATATATTATTCTGGCTTATGCTTGTTGG